GGCACTAAGAAAAACAAAAAAAAACAAAGCTGTCGCTGGGGTGGAACCATAAGGTACAAAAGATAAAAGGTACATCTTTGTATTTTATATGCACCTAAATGGTACATATTAGTACCTTAAAGGTAAAAAATAGTATTTCTGTCATGACAACTCTCGGAGTGATTAGCATGGTAATGGATATGACAATGTTAATGTATTTGGTCCTGGCGGAATAGATCTTCCTGAGCTGCTGCTGCTGTTGGTTATTGCTTTAGTTGTAGATTATTGCTGCTGCTGCTGCTGCTGCTGCTGCTGCAAGCAAGTACAGGAACCTGCTACTGCCGATGCATAAGCCGATATGATGCTGTGCGTATTTAAGACATACTGCTGCTGTACAAATAGCATATAAAATAACCCATAGCAGCTCTATACAGGTGGAGCTGGGGAAGGTGGAGGGTTTCAGAAGAACTCTGAAAGTGCGCTGCAATGCTCAAGTGAATGCTAATCAGCCATTTAAATGTAAAGCAGTAAGCTCATTGGCTGCGTATGCAACATGAACCAATCATCTTGTGACAAATCGTTTATTGCTAAGAATATATCAGGACCCATCAGCATTCGCCATCTAGAGTTTTGTGACAGAACTTGGTATATTTTATATTTTTACATTAACAATGTAATCAATATTCTGTTTATTAAAACCAAGTATGAATCTCATTAAGTTAGTGTTTTTAAACATTTTACATTTATCCCAAAATAATAAATCAAGGCAGTAACAATTTAAACAATATATTTTATTTGTAAACGTATGTTCAGCTATTCTTTTTAATAGTTAACTTTTAACTATTTTTTGAATTATTCGGTTCATCAGTCATTAAAGCTCAGTGAATATTGGTCACAGACACAGAGATTTAAGTTACTTAAAATTTTACCAATATTTTCAGGCCATTTCAAGTCTTATTTTGACGTAACAAAGTGGTTATATCTAAGTATGTGAGTTGTTTACTAACTTTTTAAATGAGTCTTCCCATTAAGGCCATTATATTCTTCATTCAGACTGATTTGCAAATGCGGAACGCGCATGAACACAAGAGGCAGGTTTTATCGCATGAACCAAACACAGCCGAACATAACCAGTCATATCTAATCATATCGCGATGGAGGCACTTTAGTTGGTCTGTTAAAACTCAATGGACTCAGGGGAGGTGAGAGAGACGCAGATGTATTTTTCTCATTTTAGTTTAATATAACATGTAAGTGTGACCAGCTGTGTTCAGTTAATTTACGAATTTAAGATCCATATTGTTAGATTTTAATTGGGTTTATGATTAAACATACCCAGTCACAAAAATCTCACACACACACACACACACACACACACACACACACACACACACACACACACACCTGTATGATTTATAAACGTTTTGAAAAATGGGGACATGGGGTAATGTCCTCATAAGTCACCTTCTCCTTGTAATACCTATGTCATACTCATGTCATTATACAAATTTGTGTCCTCATATGTCACAAAAATGCGCGCGCGCACATGCACACACACACACACACACACACACACACACAAACGTTGGTTTTGCATGTTTTATGGGGACATTCCATAGACGTAATGGTTGCTATGTATAAACTGTATTTTCTATCCCGTAACCCTACACCTAAACCTAACCCTCACCAGAAACTACAGCCATTTTTAGAATTTCAAGAAACTTTATTCTGTATTATTTATAAGCTTGTTTCCTCATGGCGACCAAAAAATTTGGATACTGCCATCTTTGTGGCGACATTTTGTCCCCATAACATAGGGTATAGCTGAAGCACACACACACACACACACACATGCACACACACACACATACAAAAATAAAATTTATATATATTTTTTTTTGCTAATATATTATATAGGGGAAGTCGTGGCCTAATGGTTAGAGAGTCTCGTACCGGCAGGGATTGTAGGTGGAGGGAGTGAATGTACAGCGCTCTCTCCCACCTTCAATACCACGACTGAGGTGCCCTTGAGCAAGGCACCGAACCCCCAACTGCTCCCCGGGCGCCGCAGCAAAAAATGGCTGCCCACTGCTCTGGGTGTGTGCTCACGGTGTGTGTGTGTTCACTGCTGTGTGTGTGCACTTTGGATGGGATAAATGCAGAGCACTAATTCCGAGTATGGGTCACCATACTTGGCCACGTCACGTCACTCACTCACTTATATTATATTATATTTTGCTTCTCTGCTTGCGATCAGATCATTTTAAGCTGCTAAACTCCGGGAAAATTTTCAGTCCAATGATCCAGTAAGCGAATGCATTCAAACAATCCGTCCAAAACAGCACTAATATAAAGGAAACCAGGCTGATTACATCAGAGATTGCAAAGAGAACAGAGACTCGCGTTGCGTTTTCAGTAAATGATTAATTCCAGTGTGATTCGCTTTTAAACACAAGCTCTGTCATATTCTGTGATTGTCTCTGAAGAGCGCGAGCCCTCACATGTCACGCACTTGTGTGAAGTACAGACTGAACAGATTGTCAACACATTCCACCGCTGTATGGCCAGATGAGACGCAAACGATGTTTTCTCGATTGTATAACCAGTCTCGCTAGTAAAGTTTTGATGGATGAAGACTGCAGTCAAGATAAAGACGATTTGCAGTGGTGTACAGGAGTCGTACAGTAAGCACGCGTGAGTCTGTTATATTAATGCGTGTATGAGTGCTCTTGACACACTGATCGCACATTGTATTTATGCACAGGCACAGACATTTCCGTACAGTCACGTTGTTTCCACACACATTCGCGATAATGCTTTTATTTGTCATGTGTATGTTGCTGTGTCATGTGTTAGTTATTCTGAATGGATCCCTGTACTGTAGTAGATATAGGCAGTCAGCAGGTGGTTGGTTTAGGGATTTTTGGCATCACCATGTGGTCCTGTTCGGTATCGCAACTTGACTTCTCTAAAATGTAAAAAAGCTATTATTTGCTGTTGCACTGTACACATACTATACAATTCAGATTTTTTTTTTGCATTTTTTCCCCTTTCATATGTGCTTATATGGGCTCCTTATATCATTTGGTTCTTTGGTGTCCTTTTTGAGTTAGTT